GAATGCTGTCTGTGAAGACGGATAGAGAGGTTCAGCTTTCAGAAGTAGTATTCTTTAAAGTAAGTGTATGAAACCCAGCTCATATCCCCTGCATTTGATATCTGAATCAGCTTTCACATGAACTAATATTGTTTCACGCAGCTAGTACAAATCTATTGAGATCTGGTCCTGAAACTTGCTCACCATTTTGCACTTCAGTGAGACAAGATAAGTAACCTATACACATGCATAGGACCACCTACTGAAACTGCCTATTTTGTTTTCTAAGGCTGAGAAAAGCTTAATGGCTACCTGATGAAAACAAGACAGATTGGTAATATTTGCACTGTCTGCGTACTGTGCTTTCAATGAACAAAGACATCCAGGGTACAGGAAGCGTTTCTAGACAGGTGCCATAGAGGAAAAGATATTGCTATCTTTCTTGTCCTCTTACCATTAATATTCCAGCGTATGAAGATAATATCGTAGCTTCTTTCTCAATTTGGTCGGGGTACATGCATTGGTTGTGAGCTGCAAAATTCTTCTATGGTGTTTTGAACAAGAATATTATTAGCCTGGTGTTATAAATGCAAAAAATAGTCTTGGGCTTGATTCACTGCTGCTTTCACAGTGGTGTAACCCAGTGCAACAGCAGGGCCTTAGCTTTGCAATACTCACATTTTCTGTCTTGTCAGTGCAGTCTGAACATCCAAGTCACTTAGCTAGAGCAAAGCAACTCTGAAGGCTAAGTTTTAATGGACCTGGAAAGACAGAAGAACCTTATGTGTTTTGTTTTACTGCAATTGCTTGACTGAGATGACAGAAAGACCAGAGAAATGCAGGGAAACATAAGCTGGAGACCAGTACTGTCACAACTGTGCTGGGTACCTCACCAGTTGTAAGACGCTTACTGAGGTTTTAAATACGCCCAAGAAGACTTTCTCATCTTAGTTGAAAGATGTTTTGTTATGCACAGATAGCTTTAGTTTGTGAAGAATTCCCTTTGTTTAGTTGACTTGAACTTTATCAAATGTCCTCTGTGGATGAGCTTTGTCTTGCTGAAAAGTCAACAAAAACTTGAATTATCTTGGATACATTACACCTGGATGCTATTCACAGCCCATCTCTTTAAATACTCATTTCAGAAATGAGCTTTTATTGATCATTGTAGGAACAGTTTATTTAGCTGTACCAAACAGTCATCCTCCAGAGTTCTCAGTAGCCCTGCAGTTAAAGAGGACAGGAAGTAAGAAGTCTGGTGATTACTATGTCATCTAGAAAGGTGGGCTGCCTTTGTCCTCTGGAACCAAACTCATTTTCTCGTAGTTTGATGCCAACATAATCTCCCCTTAAAGCAAGAAAGTAACTCCAAATTACAACTGGTTCTAAGCAATCTGGTGCATAAGAAATGTAATAGATGATTCTAAAGCTAGTGCAAGACCAGAGCTAAATTTGCCATGGTTCAGGGTTAGGAATCTGCTGCAGGATTTCCCACAGACACCTCATAAGGAATCTGCTGCAGGATTTCCCACAGACACCTCATAAGTAGGAAAGCTGTTAGTTTTCTGCATCACTGCTAATCTTAGCTTCCCTCAAACTGCTGTCTTTTCCAAAGGCTCCAAAATATAGGAAGAAATAAAAACATGAATCGAGTATTTAAAGTCTGGGGACTCACAGAAGGATTTCACTGTACAGCCGAGAGACTGAAGGAGATGCTTCACTGGTGCTTGTTCCTTTCATTTAGGGGAGGACTGATTCTGCAATCTTTCCTCAGACTAAGTACTACTAATCCATGCAAGCAGTCCTAGGAGAGATGGGCACAGGACTTGTATGGAATAGAGAGAACACTGCTTACATTCCCTATGAGTTGTCTGCTGGGCACTCCTGCATCAAAGAGCATGAGACGCTGCTGCATGAACTAGAAGGCTCCTTACAGACAGCAGCTGCGCTGGCTGCATGCCAAGGGAGGAACTCCATACCTCCCTGGTCACTCCTACTGACATAGAGCAAGTTCTGGGCTGTGATATCTTTACTGGCACAGATGTAGTCAGGCCTCGCACTGCAGACTGCATGTAAGAAAATGAACATCTCAAAGGAAGTCTGTTCATATTTTCCAGCAAGAGAAGACTGAGGTTTTATAATTGTCATCCAGCTAGGTTGTACAACCCTTTGCAATGAAAACAAGTCCATCTCAAATGCAATGAAGGCAGTTGTGGGCAGTTATTACTTACAGGAGTTTTTCAATCTCTTTCTTCAGGTGTTTTCTTTCCATACTCTAGCTGCAACTGTAACATAAGCTCAATGGGATCTAGGAGAGAAAAAAGTGCATCTTACCAAGCACTTCTGTCAGTCAGCAAATCTGAATCATAGATAAAGAGTGTGGGATACTTGGACACTTCCTACAAAAATCTTGTCAAAACTATTTCCCAGGTAGGATTGCAACAGAAGCTGAGAAAAATCTAGTCAAGAAAGAGAAGACAACACAAACAGTACTGAAAGTGAGGGTGAGGAGTTTGGTAATGGGAAATGGGCAGAATGAGCCCATTTAAGATGAGCATCAATCTTAAGTGTCAGCTTGCAGGTTGCTTGCATCTCCATCACAGTGATGTATATTTTCTCACATAATGCAATCTATTGATATGCTGCTGCTTCTGAGTTTCTTAGCACATGGCTTGCTCTCCCCACTATATGTGTATTAATCAGGTCTCTGTGGTAAAAAGAGGGGATGGACTGGGAAGAGGACAGGCTGGAAGAGATGAGGTAACAGCTGGCCTGACAGGGGACAGCACAGAAAGCAGCCAGCACCTGGCCCACCAATTTATTGTAAAATCAAAGCGCATGCTTCGGTCCTCTGCTCTATAACACACAAAGTAATGACATACCTAGTAAGCTCTCTGTTAGTGGATATTGTCCCCCTATTCTCTCTCATACATGTACACAAGAAATCACGCACTATCTGTATCCGCTCTTGGAACAGGCCTCAGGATCTGGGTTTGGAGCCTCTCTGACTCCAGGTATCTACGAGGAGGAACTCCCTCTTGATGTTGCTGTTCCTTTCTTGTCTCTGCCTCTCAGTTTGTGTGCCAGGGAAAATAGGCTATGGCTCCACACAGGACTGCAGTTTTCTCCTGTTGCTTAGAAATAACACTGCTGAGCTGAGGCAAATTAAATGAAAAAAAAAAAATACAACACAGAAAATAGGTAAAACCTGCACCTTCAGGCTGAGTTATCAGTTTCAAGCTAAGCAATCTTTTTACACTTCTAGGCATTGAGTTTCATTACTGAGTGGCTAGTTGGAAATACAGGAGACTTGCTAACAAGGGAGGCAGAGACTATTCCCTGGGTTTTCTGATGGATCTAATTGCTTGCAAAAGAAGCCATCAGCTTCCACTATTCCAGTATTCCACCATATGGAACAGTGAAAAACTAGACCACCTACCTCCCAAGAGCCCACCTGGGGTTCCATTTGCAGTGTTTATGGCACATGGCAAGGATCCTGCTACTTGTTCTTTCATCAATGTTCTGTTTTCGCTTACAGTATTAGGAGAAACTCCAACAGCAAAGAAATCCCAACATGACTTACTAAATCTTGCTGTTGTCCTTCCAATGGAAGCATGCGGCGGATTAACGCACGGACTCCGTAGATGTGATACCAGAGACGTTTATTGCAATTTACAAACAGCTTTTATAGATCATTCTTCTAGCCACAATGTGTCCGAGTGCCCTTTGCTTAGTTATGATTGGTTACTATCAGTAGTGCACGCGCTTATTTTTGCTGTACTATTGGCTATGCCTAAAAAAGCATTATTTTCTATCTGCTAAGCTCAATGTCAGCTTCTCACACTCCCTTTTCCTTTAAATCAACATTCTTCCTCTTTACTGGTGTTTCTCAACTTGTCAAGAACACAGACTTAAATCATCAAGGTCAAACTCTAACTGTGTGTATGATTCCACAATTCCCCTTTTTTGTTTTTCTGTGACCATTACTTGACAAACTGTACTCTGTTCCATCCACTGAAAGCATGACAATAGGCAGGGAACGATTATGATTATGCATAAAAAGATTACTAGTAACATAATCCCTGCCTTTACTAAAGATACTAACTAACCTGTAATTCCCCAGTCCTTGAACAAGCTACTCAACCAATCTCGATTAACCTGTAATTCATTCACCCAGACCTTCAACTTCTGTATCGTTTCATGAATTGATTCTGAGTGATCAGACAAGTTCACACAACACATTCCTTCTAGTATCTCACAACCATGCCCATGCATTAGCAATAAAATTCTATGGTGGCTTGATTTTGCAGTGTAGCATGTCTAAGAGAATCTACATCAGTTAAAAGCATTGATAAAGCGGAAGCTGTAGCATTAGTTTGTTTTGCAAGCCAACAGCCTAATTTATTCAGTGTAGTCAATGCCTGTGCCACTCCAAATCCTGGTGCAAATATTGAAGCTGCAATGATTTTTGCTGGATCCCAAAATTCTGCTCCAGAATCGCACTGACTATCAAAAGCATGTGTGCGTCACTTATTCTGGGTGTGCCTATGACTTAGGATCATGGTGGTATTAGGTAAATACATTCCTAAAGTCCCTATAGTACATGGACCTCCCCTCATATGCAAAGGAATACCCTGCCACGCTCTATCCCCGCATATTAGGAACAATCCTTGTGTCAGGCGTAACGGTGCGTTAGCAGATTTAGAAATGTTGTGACTGGTAATATTGCACCATGCTGTCGCGTTCCGATATACATCTGTGGTAGCATTTATACTAACTACCCCTGCTTGATTTGATCCTGAGTAGTTAAAGCATAGACAGTAATCCATTTTTACCGATCGTAGGAGCTCCAGCTCTTGCGGCTCTGCTCCACGTAAGGGTAGGTACGTGACCCATCCATCCCAGTTATTGTGCCACGAGGAGCACAATGTGCCGCCTGTGCCGCCTGGCATTGTGTTGGGTACATAACGGCATTACCCTGTTCGTAGGTAGCCCGATCAGGCAAGTGCGGAAGGGGTTACCTGCTGAGGACATTGACAGGCAGGCAGCGTCCTGGCCTGTGGCATTAGCCATCGTTACCCATATATTTCTTCTTTGTGAGACCGAGGCCCATATGGCTCCGGCTGTGGAACATATTTCTAGGATAATTATCCCTGACGATAAGTAGCAAACATTCATTGTTGCTTCCAGTCAAATCTCCTCTCACACTGTTTCTTAGTTCTTTCCCAATCTCAGGCCCTTTCCCACAAATCAAACAAGCAATTTGATTTCCCACTCGCCCTTCCAGTCCCAAACTTTCTGAGCCGTGATGCTCCCAGACCAATGCCAGTGGTGCTGCCTTCCAGACGATTATTCTGAATCACAGGGTTGCTGGCATCCGCTAGGCTCATCCGTGTCTGTCTTGATGTTGTCCGAGGTGGTCTCATTGTTGCGGTTCAAGGCTGGTCACACGCACCTTGCAGGGACCCACTTAACGCCGTTATCTGTGGAGACACAAGCATATCCTCCACCCCAGGTTAACAACTCAAACGGTCCCTCCCATTTTTGTGTTAATAGTGATTTTACCCATATTTTTGCTCGTTTACCTTCTTCCCCTTTGTTTGTGAGGGAATGAAAATGTCTTATAATAGGGGGGTCCGCATCGTGATCGTGCAAGTTTAGGTAATTCAAGGTATATACAGATTTGTTAAGCCTGTTTTGTGGGGGCTCATCCTGCATTCCCCCTTTTTGTTTTTCTGGCATGGCTTTGAGAACCGTATGAGTATGTTCTACTATTGCTTGGCCTTGGGGCGAATGTGGTATTCCGGTGACATGGGTAATTCCCCAGCGATGGAGGACTTGATGCACTGTTTGACTTACATAAGCGGGACCATTGTCTGTCTTGATCTGTTGCGGCACCCCCAATGCTGCAAAAGCACTGATAAAATGTTGTGTCACATCACGAGATTTCTCTCCTGTGCATGCTGTGGCCCATATTGCATGAGAATAGGTATCAATGGAAACGTACATATTTTTGTCAGCCAAATTGTGGGACATGGGTGTCATCTGTTTGCCTGAGCTGTAAGGCATGTAACCCTCTAGGATTAACTCCCATATGCCTAATGGCAGCAAATGGTTGACAGTCTGGGCACATTTGTAGGATCTGTCATGCCTCAGACCAAGATAAGTGAAATTGGCATCGTAGGGCCTTCGCTGATTGGTGGTAAAAAGCAGGGGAGGTCGTTGCCTGCTGTACCCTGTCAGGTACCGGGGACGATCAAATTGGCAGAGTGAGCCTATCAGCTCGTGCGTTACCTTCTGCAATAAAACCTGGTAAGTTAGTATGACTTCGTACACGCATAATATAGAAGTCATTAATTCTATGATTGACTTCCCACAGCAGTGCCTTAAAGAGAAAAAACAATTGTTCATTACTGACTTCCCTTAACCAAGCATATTCTATACGTTGAACAACCCACAGACATATTGTGAGTCAGTGATTAAGCTGAATGGTGCCTCCCATTTTTTGAATACTGCAACCACGGCTGATAACTCTACAATTTGCGGTGAGCCTTTAACGATTTGGACCTCCTCGTTCCAACCTCTATCGTCTTTCCATACTATAGCGGCCTTCCCTGTCTTTCCGGACCCATCTGTAAATACCATGATTCTCTCAACAGGTGTAGGGACGACACCAAGGTCAGAACTGTAGAGGAAGGCCTTGTAGGGCGTTCAACATTTTGTCTGAAGGGTAATGGATTGACACTTGCCCTGTCAAACCCAAAAAGGCATTCTGCAGTGCGACACTATTTGCTAAGCACCGTTTCTGTGTGAGTGGAATTCTGATACAGGCTGATTCTCTACCTTTCATTTGTACAATTTGTTTTCTACTTTTACATATGACCATAGCAATCATTTCGGTTCTGGTTACAATGTTTTTTGTTGGCTGATGTGACAGAAATACCCATTCCAGTAGGATCACAGGATCATTCTGTTGTTCCTCATCCCACTGTGCTATTAGACCCTAAGGGCTGTTTTGCATTATTAATGATCATTAATGTAATCTCCAAATTTTCTTTTTGTCGGTAGGTCTGTCGAGACTGGATTGCTAGTTCTACCTGGGCTAGAGCTTTTTATGCGTCCACATTAGCTGTCAGGGTGAATTTAAGCTAGGCTCTCCCTTCAGCATATCAAAGAGAGGGGAGAGCTGAGTATTATCAATGCCTAGCAAGGGGCGGACCCAATTTATGGTACCCAGCAACTTTTGAAGGTCATTTAAGGTTTGTGTTTCTGTGTGCAGGGTGATCCGCTGAGGTTGCACAGTTGACATAGAGATTTTCCACCCCAAATATTTCCAAGGTTGCTCCTTTTGAACCTTTTCTGGAGCGATCTGTAACCCATACGGAGAAAGCACTGCCCTTGCTTCCTCAGTGGCCCTTGCCAATAAGCTGGGCAACTGACCTGTCAATAGGATATCGTCCATGTAATGACAGACCAACATTTGTGGATATTTAAGCCTTATTCCTTAGAGGGCTTGTGCCACATACATTTGACAGATAGTGGGACTGTTTTTCATACCCTGTGGCAGTACAACCCAGTGATATCGCTTCATGGGTTTGCTCTGATTGATTGAAGGGATGGAAAAGGCAAATTTTGTCCCATCCTTCTCCGCAAGAGGGATGGTAAAGAAACAATCTTTTAGATCCAATACGGTAATTGGCCAATTAGCTGGAATCATAGTGAGGGAAGGGAGTCCTGGTTGAAGGGCTCCCATGCCTTCCGTTACCACATTTACTTGCCACAGGTCATGTAACAGTTGCCACTTTCCATTTTTCTTTTTTATTACAAATACAGGTGTGTTCCATGGGCTAGTGGTCGGCACAATATGCCCCTGGTGTAACTGTTCGTTAACCAATTCATGCAGCGCACGGAGCTTTTCAAGTGTAAGGGGCCACTGATCCACCCAGACAGGTTTATCTGTTAGCCATGTAATAGAAAGGGTGGGCCGTGCTGCAGTGACCCCTACATAAAATGCTGAGTTCCAGTGGTGACCCCCCAGGAGGCCAGCATGTCTCTTCCCCACAGGATGAGCAGAACTCCCACCACATAGGGGTGTATTGTGGAGACCTGTCCCTTGAGGCCCACCACTTGAATGAAGTTAACACTCTGGTATGATGTGGTAGTGCCTCCAATACCCGACAGGCCAGAGGCCACCGGTCGTACTGGCCATGACGAAGGCCATTTTGCTGAGGAAATAACTGTGACATCTGCGCCAGTATCGATCATTCCCATCATTGTGACAGTAGTAGGTTTGCCCTCAGCATTACACACAGTACATGTTAGTTTGGGTTGTTGTTCTGTCACCGGTGGTACCCATAGAACCGCAGGACTTGTGGATACCAAACCCCCAGTCCCCCTTGTTCTTTTTTCTATAGTTAGGGGTCAACCCTGGAAGGGTATTAATTGGGCTATTCGGGCTCCTGCGGGTACAACAGTAGGTGGGGAAGGAGTCCAAACCATAGCCTGAATTTGTCCTTCAAAATCTGCATCTGTTACTCCAGGCAACACAAATAAACCCTGTACAGTTGTACTTGACGGTCCCAGTAATAGTGCGCTTAATCCATGGTCTGCAGGCCCTTCTGTGTCCACTGGGATCTTGTGTACTGCAGTATCCGTTATTGTTGTTTCACTGAGGGTGGCCACATCCATTCCTGCGCTGCCGGTGGTTCGCGCTCAGAGGTGACCGCATCCACTTGGGGAATACGTCGAGGCACTTGTGTCTGCATGCACCTGCGACTTGCGTTCTTCTTGAAGTTTCCTGGCAGCAATCTCCCTTCTCGACTATATTTAGAGTAACATTCTTTAACAAGGTGGCGTCCCTTCCTACATCTCGGGCAGACTCCTGGCCTTACAGGAATTTTAGGGCAATCCCGCTTAAAGTGACCAGGCTGCCCGCACCTATAACAAACCCGATCCACCCTCATGGCTGCAAAGGCAGCTGCCATTGCTTCCATTTTATGCTGGACCGTCCCCACCTTCTGACATGCCTCCATCATTTCAGCAATACTGGGATTCCTAAGAGGTTCTAACATGCGTTTGCAATCTGCGTTGGCATTTTCTACTGCTAATTTCATTAATAACACCTCTCTTGCCACCTCATTCTCTACCTGCTTTTCTATTGCTTCCCTTAATTTATCTATAAAAAGCATGTACGGTTCATTAGCTCCTTGTCGGATGGACGTAAAGGAACTCATAACTTTACCCGTATCAGGTGTTTTCAGCATAGCTTGGTATGCTAGCTGACGGGATTGGGCTAGAATAGCTGGATTAAGGCGTGCCTGCCGTTGAGGAGCATGTACAGGCGCTTCTCCCATTAACTGAGGGATGCCCACACCCCTCAGTGGGTCCCCGTCCTGTCTCTCATAGTTCTCCAGCATCTTTAGTTCGCAAGCAGAGCGCCAGTGGGATTCAAACATCACCTTTTGGGTGGGTGTGAATATGAGCGCTGCGATCTGTTTAATGTCGAAAGGAGTAAGTTCGTAATTAAACATTACCGATCGCAGCAACCCTTGAGTGTAAGGGGAAGTGAGACCGTAGTCCAATACGCTCTTTCTTAACTCTTTCACTAGCCCAAACTCTAATCCCCTGTATTCAGCACACCCATCAGGCAGACAAGCAAGATGCTGCGCCAGGTCATATTCTCCCTCCTTTTCCGCCTGTTCCTTGAGTTTTTGCCAGTGATGGCGGGGATCAGGACCCTCCATCTTAATTGGTGGTATCACAGCTCCCAGTAGGTCTGTGGAGGAGGGAGTTGCAGAAGCAGAAGAGGGAGTTGTAGAAATAGAAGAGGGAGTTATTGTAGAAGCGGGAGCAGGGATGAGGGACAGCGGAGGTAAATCGGGGGGGGGGGGGGGG